GGTATTGTGCGGGCAGCGTGGTACAGGGGGAGTAAGCGGAGAATGGTCGGGGTCACAAGCCAGGTTCAGCAGGTAGCGGGCAGCGCGGTACAGAGGGTCAGGCAGAAGGATGGTCAGGGACGAGCCGGGGTCAGAGCAGGAGAAGGTCAGCATAAACAGAACAGGCAGAGTTTGGCAACAAGGAAGCGTACTTACAGGAACAGGAACGAGACCTTGCGGCAACTTGGAGATGCACAGGGCAGCTTTAAATAGAGCGCCCTGCTCTCCCATTGGTGCGGCCGCGATCGCTACTGCGCATGCGCGGCCGCAGCGATTGCCGAGGATTCTGCGCTCGCCGGCTGGGACGGATCGGCGGTCTGCGCATGCGCGCGCCGCCGAGGACCCGGGATCCCTGACCCTTTCCTTCTCCATACTCTTCTCTTCCCATCACTCTGGTACAAGTTGATCTGGTCTCATCTGTCCATAGGATGTTGTTCCAAAACTGTGAAGGCTTTTTTAGATGTCGTTTGGCAAACTCTAATCTGGCCTTCCTGTTTTTGAGGCTCACCAATGGTTTACATCTTGTGGTGAACCCTCTGTATTCACTCTGGTGAAGTCTTCTCTTGATTGTTGACTTTGACACACATACACCTACCTCCTGGAGAGTGTTCTTGATCTGGCCAACTGTTGTGAAGGGTGTTTTCTTCACCAGGGAAAGAATTCTTCGGTCATCCACCACAGCTGTTTTCCACGGTCTTCCGGGTCTTTTGGTGTTGCTGAGCTCACCGGTGCGTTCCTTTTTTTAAGAATGTTCCAAACAGTTGTTTTGGCCATGCCTAATGTTTTTGCTATCTCTCTGATGGGTTTGTTTTTTTCAGCCTAATGATGGCTTGCTTCACTGATAGTGACAGCTCTTTGGATCTCATCTTGAGAGTTGACAGCAACAGATTCCAAATGCAAATAGCACACTTGAAATGAACTTGGACCTTTTATCTGCTCATTGTAATTGGGATAATGAGGGAATAACACACACCTGGCCATGGAACAGCTGAGAAGCCAATTGTCCCATTACTTTTGGCCCCTTAACAAGTGGGAGGCACATATGCAAACTGTTATAATTCCTACACCGTTCACCTGATTTGGATGTAAATACCCTCAAATTAAAGCTGACAGTCTGCTGTTAAAGCACATCTTGTTCGTTTCATTTCAAATCCATTGTGGTGGTGTATAGAGCCAAAAATGTTAGAATTGTGCCGATGTCCCAATATTTATGGACCTGACTGTATATGCAACATCTGGGGTTCTAAATAGTTTTCTAGCAAAAAAAAAATGTTTTCACATGTTGGAGAGGAATGTCAGAACTGGCTCTGACTGGAAGTGGTTAATATTGTGTACGCTCCCTTTTAGCATCAATGACTATGATGAACGCGGTCCCCGACCCCTGCCCTTCTCACCAACTCGTGACAAAGGACCAGCCGATGTCACACTGCGCTGTCACTTGTGTAACAATGCGACTCTCAGCTGCACACTGCACAAAGATTTTCCAGCTCGTTGGATCACAATCTATGTGCCAGCAGCCTGAGAGCGATTGTCACTGGGTTAATTAATTATATAATTAACCCTTCAAACTCCAAACTGCCACCATATAACTTTGGGCCCATCAACCCTTCACAACCTTAGTAAAAACAAATGTGAACAATAAAGGTCTGTAACACACATTGTCACCACAGACAGGTATATGCAGCAGATTATTACATACAGTAGTACTCTTCAAGAGACAGGGATTCTTTAGTTTGCATTAAAAGCTTTAGAGACAGTTTCAACACTTTTCAAAATAGGGTTTATTACTAAAAAGGTCAAAATTGTGCAATTAAAATATTTACAGAATGGGATGTTACAAGGAAATAAACAGAACAATATGCAACAGAGAAATAAAGAAATGAGTTAAGAAGGCAGAATACTTGAAAAGTCCTTGCTTTTAGCAGAGTCTAATTAAAAACGTTGCCTTGGCTCTCAAGTCCGTTAAGATGTTTTTTTGGTTGATGTTAAACGAGAGCTCCATTACTAGATCTGGTCAATTCCTTTCTATGATATCAAAGGTTTGTCGCCCGAAAACAACTGACCAATCATTCGGTTTAGGGGTTGGGTGCTTGGAGGTCACCAAATTTATGACCAAGTCTCAACTACAGTTTCATACTAATATTAACAACTTCCAATACATGCAGGTGGTATTCTAGCAACTGGCAGATTAATATTCAGAATTATATTTCGAACCTGGAGATACCAAACACAGAGTACCTTTGTCACCCAGGAGGAAAGAGACTGCTTTCTCCCCTTTCCTATGTGCTAACATAGTCATGTATGACCTTGATTTGTTCAGTATGATATTCCCTATTCAAATATATACCTAATATTAACGTGCCCCGTTCCGGTTTAATTCTTTGAATTCTATGTGGAATGGTTACATGTGGAATAGACGTTTTATCGCACGCTCTGCATTCCTAGAACTTCAATGGCCTTACAGGTCATGTGTGACTGCTTGACTGAGTTATTTTTGTTTTACAATAGGGCAGAGAAAAGGGTTTTCCATGGCTCACGGAAACAGACATCATGTCAAGACTAATTAGCTGTTTACAGCTGGCATCCAGGCCTAGGGTCTGGCATCTATTGCATTTTAATTAAAAAAGAGGCTCTTTTGAAGTTTGTTAAAACTTACAGATACAAAATCCAGTTTTCAGGAGGAGGGAGGAGAGGAGGAAGATTATTGCTCATGAAAAACAAAAATGGCTGTCATGTACAGGTTCCATGTCCCTATTGCGCACAAATCGTTACAAAGACAACTTGCAATATTTAGTGATAGTTGTGCATAAGGTATTTTTTCTCATTTGGGCAAGATGGCCATTTGTCTTGCTAAAAAGTCCTGTCTTTGGTTGTTTAGCATAAACTGCATGTTTGAGATCCCCCCATGAGTCATTGATTTGAAGTCAGAACCTTCCCTTTTTTCTAGTTTTTTTTCTTTAGCTATATATGCTATATTGATTTTACCATCAATTCTGATTAAATTTCTTGTGCTGCTGTAGCCCACATGCCCCAAAACCACAACGATCCACCTCCATGCTTCACAGTAAAGATGGTGTGCTTCTCGCCCTAGGCTTTGTTGAATCCGTATCCTTTCCAAGAATAGCAGTCATGGTTGTGAAGAAAGTTTAATTCTAGTCTTGTTATTCCAAAATTTTTGTTCCAGAAGTTTTGCTACTTCTCTAGGTGCCATTTGGTGTATTGTAACTAAACTGTTTTGTGGTGCAGCAAAAATAGCTAACATTTTACAAATTCTGCTAGGAATATATAAGCCTGTGGGTACCACTGTATATTCATTGACAGATTCTAACCTATCATTACAATCTGGCTATGAGAAATGTCTAATCTGCTTGCGATTGTACAATACAGACAGTTCTAATTAAGGACATGCTGATAAACATGACTTACTAGTGCTCCCTAAAACAGAAGCAAAGTCTATCACAAGCATTGGCTTGATCTCTCTTTGAAAAAAACATGAATAATTAAACATACATGAAAAGATAAGTAATAAACACTTGTACATCGTCAGCCGTACACAAGAGGATGAATTTACAAGTTGGAAAATATGACAGTATATAAAATGGCTTCATTCTTGTAAAGGAAATGTCAGTTCAGTTGTCTTGTTCCACCACTGCCACATCTGGCACAAAGATAGTTTGGAATTTAAAGGACACAGCATGGTTTGGCTTTAACTTTTTGAAAGACTGCTCTGTAACCCCTCCAAACACCTCTTCTTCCCTTTGAAAGTCTGCAGGCAGAGGGCTTTTCTGGCACTTCTGAACAGTTTTCCTCACCGACTTTTCAGTTTCAGATAAGTTGGAAAGAACCTACATAAGAAATGAAGATGACAGCAATGGGATTTGTTATAGTAAAAGAACTAGAATTTGGAGCACATTTTCCACTTTCTTAACTGCTATTATTAAAGCAGTATAAAACCCAAAAGCAAACATTTATCATATTGCAGCAACAAAGGAAACTTTCTTTCTTCTATTTTCTTGCGGTTATCTAGCCCGTAAGTCTGTTGTTTTCCAACAGAACAAGCTCTCGTACAGTTACAGGGATGAGACAAACCGTTAAAGCTGACAGTGCTGCTTAAAATTAGTTTTTATTTATGTAAATGTTTATTCTTTTGTCCCGAAAGGAAAAAAAACTGATTATAAAGTGTTAGCTGGAGTTCAGCTTTATTTGTTACTGTATTTATATTTGCTATTATTCCCTTCCCCCCCAGACTGGCAATGCTGCTGTCCAAAGGTGTCTCTATGCTCCTTCATCCAGAGTGGGGGAACTCTAATATAGGAGGTGTGGTAGTGGCCAGATCACCAAGTGAAAAACAGAGGAGAAAGAACTAAAAAAGAAAAATACAGCAGCCACCACAGCTAATGATTGGTAAGCTACAATATATTACATTTTTGGTTTTAATAACACTTTAAAAGCCTGACTATTTATATAGCAGTTTTATTCTGTAGTATTATTTTGGATCGCCAAGGTAATATAATACAATATAGCTATACTGTATGGTAAAGATCATAAGGAAAAATGTGGCACATTTCACCTTAAAAGCCTCTTGTGCCACTTGTACCCTTTTAAAAACACTATTTCTTTGGATACACTTCACCCTTGTTGTAAAGGCAATACCCACCATTTGTCGCACACTCTCCCTTTGCTCCTGATCCTCAGAAAGGTACTGTGCTAGGTCTCCATTCATGGGGTACTCTGCTATGTGTCTATTGGATTCTTCCATGTCATTCTATGAATACACAATGCTTTAGTCTACTTTATATCACACATATATTATACTTAGACCATAATATCAGATCTAGCTCAACTCTAGATGGCTTCTAAACCATGATCAAAATGGATCAACGCCAGTTTATTTTGCCAGCTAATCCAATGGACAACATATATTTAATGCTCTAAATTTCAATAACCAGAAAGAAGAAATAAAATTATATCATTAATAAAATTTTAATGAGTACGATACTTACCGTACTAAAGGGTCGGGCATTCCTATTAAACATCAGAAAAAATGGTGTGTATTTTGTGACTGGGTTAATAGTTGTCCGAAACTGAAATAAAATGGGATCCAAGTATTTATCCCAGTCCACTGTATGATCATTTACCGCTCTCCTGATTGAGGATTTCAGAACATCATAGGATTGGTCATCTAATCCGGTGTGTTCACAGGAATCTGTCACAGTCACAGTTTGTGGTATATTCCACCTTTCACACAGTAGTCTGCTGACCTGGAATTAGAAGATGACTTCATCAAGGTTCACCAGTCATGCAGGGGTTTCCCATAATTTAAACATGAGTATTAGGCAAACAATATTCTATCATACCAGTTTGTGAACTTTTTTGGAAAAAAGCAACAGTACAAAGTTAATACACAGAATTTCATAATAAAATGTGGCTGAACCCACAAATGGCTCCCTAGAATAGATCTTAGTAGACCACCCCGCCCCCCACATTTCAGTCAGCTGACCTTAAACCCAAAATTTGGTGCTTGTTGTTTCTCTAGGTGCTTTTCAGCACAAACACAAGAAATGGTACTTACATTCAAACAGAAGCGTCCCTTGTGCTGCTGGCTGCTATCTTAGATTACATCTTCCACATCCCCCTGCACCCCCTTTCCCCCACCACCCCTTCAACTGCAATATTCCAGTGTAAACCATGCCCACCACTTTTAGAAGCTGTAGTATAGCTTCCATCAATGAAAAACACCCTATGAATGGAGGAAGGGGAGCTTTCATTCATCTGCCCATCCTCCATTCATTGAGTGCTTTTTATTGATAGAAGATATAGTACAGCTTCCATTAATAGAGAAGGGGTCAAAATAGTGGTCACTGTTGGCACTCATGACAGGTCCAATGGCTGTATTAACCCCTGCAGTACCAAAACATTACTGCTGCAGGGGTTTGGGTGGGGGGAGGAAGCAGAGGATGGAAGATTTAAACTAAGACAGCAACCACCAGCACTAGCAAGGGGACACTTCCTGCTGACTAAATATAGATCCCTTGTGAGGATTTAAAAGAGAAAAAAAATCAACTAAGCTTGGGCTTTAACAAGCGAAGTAAGCTATGTTTAATATAGCAAAAGGAATAAAGTCCTAAGTGTGTGTGTGTGTTCTTTTTGTGTTCTTGTTTTATATACCTCCTCACAGAAGTTCCAGGACTGATTGCAGTAAATGGTTTTTGAAGACCCAAATCTGTTTTGAAAAGAAGGCATATAATAATGAATTATTACACTATTGAAAAAAAAAAACAAAAAACACAGGTGTAAACAACACAAAACATGTTGTAAATATTACAAATATAAGGTGCATAGTATTTTTTCTTTACACACACTCTAAGGCCTCCTTGATACAAGTGATTAACTGCATGTAGTGGAGTCCAGAAGCAAGGATCATCGGATTCTTACTGCTGGAATGTCGGGTTTAGGAGAACAGTATCAGCCACTCAGCATGTGCAAAGTAATGACAGGCTGAAAGCAACTCAGCAGTTACATGCTGTTAGGGACAGATGAGTGGCTCTGGATGCAGAATATTGCATCCAGGCTTCGACATCTGTCCCTAACCACATGTAACCACTAGTTGTGCGTCTACATGCGAACAGCTATGACTCCTCTCAGTCTGCCATTACTTTGTAAAGGCTGAGTGGCCACTGCTGTTTGCATACACTTGTCAGCCAAGACGCAGAAATCTGCTGATTCTTGTCTAATGACAGACTTTCTTTAAGAGCATGACCAGTCCTGGGTCTATACAGAGACACATATTTGCATAACTCATGTGATTAATTTCCCTGCACATTTGCTTGAGGTGCAGGAAAGAACACTGGATTACAGCATTCTCTAAAATTTACATACACACCTGTAATAAACAGAGGCAAGTAGTTTGGCTACAGATGCTGCGTCATTTCTAGACACTGCCATGGCTTCTGTCCACTTTGTAAAAAAGTCAGTTACCATTATTATATAAATACTGTCCTGAGTGCTTGGAGGAAATGGCCCTATAAAAAGCAAAAGAGAAAATATATCGCAGTATTATTATTATACAGGATTTATTTTGCGCCAATAGTTTGCTCAGCGCTTTACAATATAATGGGAGACAATACAGCAACAATACAATTCAATACAAGAGGGATAGGAGGTCCCTGCTCCTTGGAGCTTACAATCTAGGAGATGCAGTATAATGTACATAATATCTACATCATCCACATATTCCCTATAAAACAAAGTGTAGATTTCATTTGAATCACCAAGAACACTGGGCATTATTTGTATCGTTAATTGACCACAGAAGCCCAAAAGTAGCTTCTTAAAAAACATTCTTTGTGTGGAAAGAAAAATCGCAACATTTAGGGGTCCTCACACTGTGATGAATATGCAGACAGATAAATAAAAAATAACAACAGAATCCATGTGTGCTCACTTCTTGTGTTCCTTCAGTTGAGTAGGTCAGAATCAGGAAAACTCAACTCCCGTTATACGCCTTTGGAAACTGCGTGGTCAGTTTGTGTACTGGGCAAAGACATACATATTTACAAAGTGTTTAGCCCTTGACTGCATATCTGTAAGGGACCATTTGGCATTGTGGGGTGCACTGTGGCAACATGGGCTCAAACATGTACTGGCACTATATATAGCAACACACCTGTCGTATGTACTCTCCAGCGCCTGGGGATATGCACAGCTAAAAGGGAAGCCAAGGGAATCAGGACAACGACAACTAAAGGAAATGCTTCAGGGGTGCAGCCCTCCTCAGATGGGGAGATCAGCTACTAGATAGAGAGAAAACAGGTGGCGCACACACTTAGTGCATTATCCAAGGTTTATTGAAAGGAGTGAAAAATAAAAACACACTCACAGACGAAGCATGTATCTGGTGATACATCACCAGCAAGGCTCCCATCATCCATTCATTACAACTCTGCATCAGAGGCTGGTCAGTAGCTCTGAGGAAAGGGATTCGTCCCCGAAACGCGTCAACCATTTGACTGCACTGACAGTTGGAACACCTTGCTCGCCGTTGTGGCCATCGTCATTATGCAAATTCTTTTTAGATACATGCTTAGCCTGTGAGTATGTTTTTATTTTTCACTCCTTTCAATAAACCTTGGATAATGCACTAGGTGTGTGCGCCACCTGTTTTCTCTCTAGCAACACACCTATGTGCAACACCTTTCATTGTATATGGTATCCCAAAGCATTTCACTACAGAGCCCAACAAACAATACCTATACCGTGTGTTGTGGTGGGCTACTTTGTTAAAAAAGGGTCAAGCACATGTTTCACCTAATGTGGTGTTTTGTTAGCCTTTTCATAATGAACGAACTGCCCTAGCACAACACACATTAACGCGGGTGCATTAACGCCACATGTTTATGAGTGAATGAGCGCTTACAGAAAGTGCGGAAACATACAAATTATTTCTACACAAACCATTTTGCAGTTTAAAAAAGGTATAAGCAACGACTTCGCCATTTCAATTGACAGAAGTCGTAATTTTTGTAAATTAAAAAAAAAAAAAAAAAATCAAAAATTGCTTCCATGCAATTTCAGAGGCCAGGAGAAATTCATACCATGGAATGTTACTCCCAGGACTTCCCATGGATAATCCACTTTCACGGGTTTGATTTTTTTACAGGGATACTTGTGATATTCGGCATTCTGACAAGTTTCACATACTTTGATCTGCACCAGGAAACACAGAAATGCATATAAATTAACAATGCACTCCAATTCTTGGATTTCCAAAAGTAGACTTCAGACAAACATGTTTTGTATTCAAATCGATTCAGTGGATACACCCACCTGCTGTACTATTCTAATTTCCCAGCCTGTCATTCATCGTATGCATCTGGCTGCTCTGTTCACTAAATCTGTATCATTGCTGGCATTCTCATCTTCTGGATGAGCTGCCCACTTACATCCCCCCCCTTCCTTTTTTCCAAGGGATGTAAAAACTTACAGGCATGTGAATATTTGCGGAGTTTATTCCCCCAGAGAGGACAGAAATTTGATCATTTGTAGAAATATAATTATTAAAGTGAACCTGTACTTTACTCTAGGCATGGCAAAGCAACAGGGTTACTTTAGAAGTAGCATATCCTCTCCTTCCTTTCCTTCACTCCCTCATCATAAGTATCAGAAAATGCCTGCTACTTGTGGGTATGGGGAGCATGTCACTCACTGCTCTTCCGACTACATGACAGAACTGGTGCTTGGTGACGCACACAACTCATATATATGTATGTATATGAACTCATTAAAGATAATGTGACTATTCTCATTATCAATTTTTTAAAGTGAAATCCAAACCTCCTACACTTTACAGCCAAAGAAGCTGCCATGTTAGTTTCTGTTAGATCTGCAGCTGCCATGGTGCTGCACATGTGATCAGTCACGACAGCAATTGGATGGCTTGACAGTTTGTTTGACAGCACAAGCAACTGTAACAGTTAGCATTTCCAGCTTGCCAGGAATGTAACGGTTTTGGGCAACCTTTAAATTGAGGGGTTTAGTTCCACTTTAACTCTTTAAAAAAAACAACTTTTGACAGATGAAATGGCTTGTCTGTGTATAACCACTTCGAATTCAAAACACATACGTACCCAATCTATTACATCCTTCACCACACCAAGCCAGTAATATCGGCTTTGAATCCTGTTCACAGTTTTCTTTTGGCCTAAGTGATGGCCAGACTCTGTTAGATGGCTTTCTAGGAAGATATTATGTCTTTTTTCTGGATCCACAACTACTTCTCTCTTTTCTTCATTTTTTGGACCAACATAGTACAAACAGCCACCTGAACCAAAAAGGAAAAAAAAAAAAAAAAAAAGAAAGTTTGACCAAATCGCAAGAATACAAATACAAGTCCGGAATACGTTTGCAATTTAAACATGTATGTGTATTTCCTACTATAGGCATTTACCAGTTTTCTAGTAGTTCCACTTTATAATGCAATTTTAAAAATATCTTCACACCTATGTAGGATGTGGTTTGTAAAATCATTGTGTCTATAGGAGCCAGTATTATACGGTCTTTCATTCAATAACCTGCACTGAACAATTACAGCTATAACCACACCAACTGAAGTATGTAATGAACTGAAAGAGGACCAGGCTGTTAAAAACCTTCTGAAGGCACTTCTGGGGTACTTAGCATGCCAAAATCACCAGGCCTAAGCTGATGGGGTTCAAAAGTGGAAAGAGCACTATCTAGGTGTTCTGGCTCAGTGAGGACCATGTGATGGTCTGGGGTATATGCTTGGAGTATATGAACAAAAAAATTGTTCACGGGCCTAGTGCATTACCTTTAAAAATGAGATTTATTGATAAAAAGTAAAATACTCACAAAAGGAATAAAATCAAATGAAGGGCATGTTACAAGAAATGCAGTGTGGTCCATTCTCACCCTGAGGGATGTCTGGTGGGGGACTGTAGACCTCTAGATGCCTGTGCCTCTTCCTCAGAGCCTCAAAATGCGTCAGTGAACAGCTCCTCAAACTCTGTATCTACTATGTAGTTTATCTTGTGCAAATGAAATGTGGTGTCTAAATAATATTTTGGGGACCCAATATAGTAACTTTCTCATATAGGAGAAACCAATAACACAGGTATGTACTCCAGCCATACCTGACCTTGTCTACTGTAAAACTTCCTCAACACGCTCACCCGCCAGTCAAAGTTTTGTTTATTGAATATGCGTGCTTAGCTTTATAGAAGGGGCGTGTATACATCTGGCTGTGGGAAATGGGCCAGCTCCATCTAATTGTCTTTGTACAGTGACAGCTTGCTGGCAGGATAACTCAGGTGGGCTTGGGCTAGGATCCAAACATGTCTGAGCTCATCCCTAATGACAAAACAACTGTAGAACTGAAACAGTTGTCACCCTATAACAGGAAGTGCCTGAACAAGGACCTCATGACAGTGATTCCTTCAACAAAAGCTGCAGAATTCAAACTTTTCACATGAAATGAAGATGTTAAAGCCTGTATGAGATGTTGGTGATCAGGAGTATATCTACTTTGGGTGGCATTACTCCCAGACATAGAAATATAACCAAAATGCCAAAACACAAATATTCCTGCGCTTGGGGGTGAACTTGACAAAGGCTACAACTCCATCCTGGCTGTCCTGGATGGTGCACGCCTTGTTGCCCTCAGAAGACCGGAGAAGTCCAAAAATGCTGGATACAAAGAAAACAAACAGAAGGAGCACCAGCCTAGTGCATTACCGTAAAACACATTTTTATTGATATAAAGATGATAAGCAATATACTCACAAAGGACGAGTACGTCAAGAGCTCCTCATAAAAAGAACAGCACTGTCCAGTCCACATTGCATTGCTTCTCAGGAATCTTGGGCCTCTAACCTCCTAACGCGTTTTGAGGACTTGATTGGCTCTGAGGAAGAGGCAAGTTCTCAAACGCATTAGCCTGTTGGACGTCCAAGGTTCCTGAGAAGCAATGCAATGTGGACTGGACAGTGCTGTTCTTTTTATGATGAGCTGTTGACGTACTCGTCCTTTGTGAGTATATTACTTATCTTTATATCAAATAAAAATGTGTTTTAACCGCTTCCTGACCGCCTTATAGCGGAAATACTGCTACAGGGCGGCACAGATTTGCGAAATCACGTACATATACGTGATTTTGGATCTCCAGGTAGGGGGTGCGCACGAGCCGTGTGCAAACCCCACCCACAAAGCTAATTGCGTCTGTGGCTGTCAATCACCGGGTCCCGGCTGGTGATTACCCACTGGTACCCTGTGATTACCAAGCATCTCTGACGGGAAGGACGTAGGGCACAGTATTGAATTAGACTGTCATTGCAGACCACCTGTCCTGTTTTTATTTTCTTTGTATTGGTGTCACTGGAGATGTCAGTGACACCAAGTCAGTTCCCCCCAGTGCCAGAATGCCTGCCGCAGTCCCGCTATAAGTCGCTGATCGCCACCATTACTAGTAGAAAAAAAAAAGCCCAGTAGCTATACTGCCATTTGTAGATTCTATAACTTTCACGTAAACCAATTCATTTACACGTATTGAGATTTATTTTAGCAAAGACATGTCGCAGAATATATTTTGGTCTAAATTTATGATGAAATCTGATTTTTTTTATTTATTTACTAGACATGTTTAATAGCAAAAAGTGCAAAATATTGTTTTTTTTCTCAAAATTGTCAGTCTTTTTCTTTTTTAATAGCGCAAAAAATAAAAAACGCACAGGCGATCAAATACCACCAAAAGAAAGCTCAATTCGGTGTAAAAAAAAGGATGTGCATTTAATTTGGGTGCAGCATTGCATGACTGCGCAACTGACAGTTAAAGTAACGCAGCGCCGCAACGCAAAAAATGGCCTGGTCAGGAAGGGGGGTAAATCCTCAGGAGGGCAAGTGGTTAAGGTAATGTACTCGGGAGGTGCGCCCTTTGTATCCATAGAAACATTACCGCCTCACCTTCTAGGAGAAACTTGCGGGCATATCTCTTCAGGTTTTTCTTCTTGATGGAGCAGAAGGAAGATGGGAAGGAGCCCTCAGCCAGCAGCCTGTAAATATCTTCCAGCTTATTGGGACTGGACTCCACCACCTCCTCTGCCACCTGTAGGGGCTCCATGGTCAGCCTGGTGCAGCATGAGAACCTGGGGATGGCCGCCTGCCTGCTAGAGTGCCCTCTGATCCTCCATACTGCCAGCCTCAGGAAACCAATACCTGGAAGGAGAGAAAATGGATCAACTGACAGGCTCCATAGTCCTTCCCAGCCAGCCCTGATCCACACAGTGTGAACAGTTTCCCGGGGACCTCATTAATTGTGACACCGGCTAAGGGTGCGTATCCCACTTCTTAACCTCAGTACAGCGAACACATCAGCACAGTGCACTGCTGCCGGCAGGACAGCTGGTGTATTGATAGACGATCCCTGGATGGTAGGGGGCGCGTCTATCACGTGTCCGGAAGTAGAAGTAGCTGGGAGCACAGCTGTGTGCCTGGAGGAGCTGTGATGATGGGCAGCTGTGCGGGTTCCGGGCAGTGACAGCTCTGTGCCATGGCACACGGCTCTAGCAGAGGCTCCTATTCATGTGCCTGCTTCTACACTGACAATATATTCATACATGAATACCAAATGCATGTCAGCTTCACAGATGAGGAGCAGTTTGCCCAGGAATATCACAAGGTATTCTCCAATTACTATTTATTTATTTCAGGTACTTACAGGTGAAACTCCAAAAATTTGAATATTGTGCAAAAGTTCATTTATTTCAGTAATGCAACTTAAAAGGTGAAACTAGTATATGAGACTCATTACATGCAAAGCAAGATAGTTCAAGCCGTGATTTGTCATAATTGTGATGATTATGGCTTACAGCTCATGAAAACCCCAAATCCACAATCTCAGAAAATGAGAATATTGTGAAAAGGTGCAATATTCTCGGCTCAAAGTGTCCCACTCTAATCAGCTAATTAAGCCATAACACCTGCAAAGGGTTCCTGAGCCTTTAAATGGTCTCTCAGTTTGGTTCAGTAGGAATCACAATCATGGGAAAGACTGCTGACCTGACAGTTGTGCAGAAAACCATCATTGACACCCTCCATAAGGAGGGAAAGCCTCAAAAGGTAATTGAAAAAGAAGTTGGATGATCCCAAAGTGCTGTATCAAAGCACATTAATAGAAAGTTATGTGGAAGGGAAAAGTGTGGAAGAAATAGGTGCACAAGCAGCAGGGATGACCGCAGCCTGGAGAGGATTGTCAGGAAAAGGCCATTCAAAAGTGTTGGGGACTTTCACAAGGAGTGGACTGAGGCTGGAGTCAGTGCATCAAGAGCCAACACACACAGACGGATCCTGGACATGGGCTTCAAATGTCGTATTCCTCTTGTCAAGCCGCTCCTGAATAACAAACAGTGTCAGAAGCGTCTTACCTGGGCTAAAGAAAAACAGACCTGGTCTGTTGCTCAGTGGTACAAAGTCCTCTTTTCTAATGACAGCAACTTTTGCATCTCATTTGGAAACCAAGGACCCAGAGTATGGAGGAAGAATGGAGAGGCACACACTGCAAGATGGTTGAAGTCCAGTGTGAAGTTTCCACAGTCTGTGTTGATTTGGAGAGCCATGTCATCTGCTGGTGTTGGTCCACTGTGCTTCATTAAGTCCAGGGTCAATGCAGCCGTCTACCAGGAGATTTTGGAGCACTTCATGCTTCCTTCCGCAGACAAGCTTTATGGGGATGCTGACTTCATTTTCCAGCAGGACTTGGCACCTGCCCACACTGCCAAAAGCACCAAAACCTGGTTCAATGACCGTGTGATTACTGTGCTTGATTGGCCAGCAAACTCGTCTGACCTGAACCCTATAGAGAATCTATGGGGCATTGCCAAGAGAAAGATGAGAGACATGAGAGCGAAACAATGCAGAAGAGCTGAAGGCCGCTATTGAAGCATCCTGGTCTTCCATAACACCTCAACAGTGCCACAGGCTGATAGCTTCCATGCCACGCCACATTGATGCAGTTAATGCTGCAAAAGGGGCCCAAACCAAGTACTGAGTACATATGCATGCTTATACTTTTCAGAGGTCCGATATTGTTCTATGTACAATCCTTGTTTTATTGATTGCATGTAATCTCATTTTCTGAGATTGTAAATTTGGGGTTTTCATGAGCTGTAAGCCATAATCATCACAATTATGACAAATCACGGCTTGAACTATCTTGCTTTGCATGTAATGAGTCTATCTCATATATTAGTTTCACCTTTTAAGTTACATTACTGAAATAAATGAACTTTTGCACGATATTCTAATTTTTCGAGTTTCTCCTGTATATAGTGCCGTCAATTTATGCAGCACTTTACATATATATTGTACATTCACATCAGTCCCTAACCCTCAAGGGATGTACAATCTAAGGTCCCTAACTCACATTCATACATACACATACTAGGGACAATTTAGACAGGAGCCAATTAACCTACCAACATGTCTTTGGAGTGTGAGAGGAAACTGCAGTACCTGGAGGGAACCCACGCAGGCACAGGGAGAACATGCAAACTCTAGGCAGGTGGTGCTCTGGTTGGGATTCGAACCAACGACCATAGTACTGCCAGGCGGAAGTGCTAACCATTTAGCCACTGTGCTGCCACTGATTTTACCCTATCTTCTGAAAGCAGACACCCTGGAGAGGAAAATGGTGGTGGTGGTAGCGGCAATGGTTTAAGTCCAATAATATCAGCGCAATGGTCCATCAAGAACAACATTTCAATACAAAAAATACCCCCAGGTTAACTTTAGGACACACAAATGCAATATATGACCTAGTACTAGTAGTTTTAGTAAAATATAAAAGGTGAGTAAATAGATAACCCGACATGTCAAACCGTACAATTCCATGAGCTGGTGAAATAGCGACAAAACTCAGTACCCGGAAGTTTCCATAGGCGGTGCTTTAACCATTTCAATATCAGGCATTTTTACCCCCTTCCTGCGCAGGCCAATTTTCAGGTTTCAGCGCTCTCACACTTTGAATGATAATTGCGCGGTCATACAACATTGTACCCAAATTAAAATTTTATCATTTTGTTCACACAACTAGAGCTTTCTTTTGGTGGTATTTAATCCCCACTGGGGTTTTTATTTTTTGATAAGTTAACAAAAAAAGACCGAAAATTAAAAAAAAAAACCCCACGTTTTTCTTTGTTTCTGTTATAAAAGTTTGCAAATAAATAATTGTTCTTCAGAAATTTAGGCCAAGATGTATTCTGCTACATGTCTTTGGTGAAAATAACCAAAATCAGTATTTATTATTTAGTCTGTAGAAAGTCATATAGTTCACAACCTATGGGATATATCTGAAAATTGAAAAGTACTGACAGCCAATCTAATTTCTTGAGGCCCAAAAATGTCAGAACAGTACAGACATCCTCCAAATGACCCCTTTTTCCTAAGAAGACAGTCCAACGTACTTCATAAGAGGCATGGTGAGTTTTTTGAAGTTGTAATTTTTTTGTCCTTATTTTTCGGAAAATGAAGAAATTAAAAAAATTATTTTCACAATTTTTTTTTTTTTTACATACTGTCACCAGTGCAGTACAGCATCAACATTTAACTGGTGTGGCAGTGATCATGGACACTGACTGGTGACAGTATAAAAAAAAAATTGATAATTTTTTTTAATTCTTTTTTTAAAAAATGTTTATTCCTTTTTTTTTTTTTACTCTTTTTTTTACTCTTTTTTTTTCATATTACACTATGACCAAAGTAGTATAATGTTACCATAGTAACATTGTACTACTTTGGGGAAGTGATTAGTATTTTTTTAACACAATTTGAGTGCTTATAGTAAGCAAGCATTTAACTGAATGAAATCCATTCATTCAGGTTTTTTTGTTGTGAATAGCTGTGATTGGCCACAGCTAGTCACATGACACAGATGGGCTGTGATTGGCCCAGCCTGTGCATGTGACCTCTGTGACCATTTACAGCTAGACACACTTGTATACAATGGATGGCATGAAAGGAAGCCATCCATTGTATACAACTGTCATGTGACCTGCTGTGATTGGTCACATGGTACTGGCAACAGGGCCAGTACACAGATCTGTTATCGGCCGTGTCCGAGGTACAGGGTCGGTGACAGATCTCGCCACAGCACGGCCCTGCGGGCACGCGCAAAGCACGATCCGGGAAGAACGTCCTATGACACCCTCCCAGAGGGACGAGGTGTTCGCCCTGCCGTCATTTGACTATAGGCCAGTTGGCAAGTGGTTAAAATCCCCTACAGCTCATCAGTTTAGTGTTCCCCATGAATCATTGGCCTAGAGTTATTCATCTCACTCTGGTGTAAGCAGCAATATTTAAGTACTAAACCCAACAATTTAACGGTTTTAAATAAATAAAAAAAACTGTTCTATTCCAGGAATGTAACTGTCACATTTGCTTGTGCTGTTAATCAAACTGTCAAACCATCAGATGGCTGGTGTCATGACTGATCACATGTGCAGCACCATGGCAGTTGCAGATCAAACAGAGGCTAAGGCTAGGTTCACATCTCCGCATTCCTGCGGGCTGCATCTTGCACAGGCACAAGAGCCCATTCATTTACCCTGGGACATGCAGGGAAGAAGTCCCTGCACTTCTTCGGAAAAAGCAGCCCGCACGGGAACCTCGGTTCCCAGTATGGTTGCGATTTCCAGTGCAAGTGACATGCCATTAGAATTAATGGCACCCGCCCGCGGGTCTGCATTCCTCTGTGCGGGTGGTGCGGCTGCACGGATTTTCATGGGGATCCGCAGTGGCACCACCCTCACAGATGTGAACCAGGGGTAAGTAGTGTGACGATTGCGGCGTCAAACCCCAGCCCTTCTCACCAAAGTCGCGACCGAAGGACTAGCCAATCTAAAACCATGCTGTCACGTGCGTAACAATGCCACGCCCAGCTGAACCCTGCACAAAGATTTTCCAGCTAATGGACCACAATCGATGTACCTGCAGCCTGAAAGCGATTGTTACTGGGTCGGGTTAATTACGCAATTTACCCTTCACACTGCCACCACCTCCTTTTTTTTTGTACAGAGAAAAAGGAAACTCGGCAATATTAGCAATAACACTATGATGGTTAAATAATCATCTGTATACCACTGTCACCGCAGGCAGAGATATATAGAGGTTTTAAAAACACACAGTAGCGCTCTTCAGAGACAGGTATTCTTAGTTTGCATAAAAGAGCTTTAGAAACAGTTCAACGCTTTTCAGATAATAGGATTTATTACTAAAAAGGTCAAAAGGCTGCAATAACAATATTTACAGAAAAAGATGTAGCCAATATATATATACAGTTGCAAGAAAAAGTATGTGAACCCCTTGGGATTATGTGGAGTTTTGCATGAATTGGGCATAAAATGTGCTCTGAACGTCATCTAAGTCACAACAATAGAAGAACACAGTCTGCTGAACATAATACTACTCAAACATTAGATGTTGCCATGGTTTAATTGCACATAACATGTAAACATTCACAGTGCAAGGAGGAAAAAGTATGTGAGGCCCTAGCTTAATGACTTCTCCCAGAGCTAATTGGAGCCAGGAGTGAGCCAACCTTGACTCCAATCAGTGTGATGATATTGGATGTGTTTCTGACAGCTGTCCTGCCCTTAAAAAACACACATCTGTTTTGGGTTTACT